ACCGAGGTGCTACAATTTACTAGTTCAGAGGTGCTATTTCAGTCTTATATCCCTTTGTATCGAATTTCCAGTTTCAGCATACTTGTTTGTGCATTTTCCTTTTTTCAGAAACTGTGTTCTCTTACCAAGGCTGCAATACCTCAGCTTTTCGCATAATCCAATCACGTCTGCATCGTCGAGGCCGTCCAGGCATCAGAACTCGTGTATCACGGGCAACTCCTTCGATGGTGCGATTTGTTGGACGGAGCTTATTCACCGGCTGACCGTTGCTTTTCCCAAATTGAACTGTCTTCATTTGACCGATTGTTCACTAGACACTGGTTCTGATATCGAATCGGCCATTCCTGCACTTGCTTCTTCAGTGCCTAAAGGTTTGTCAATGAGTAAGTGTTACCTGTTGTATTTTAGGACCTTACCTGAACTCCCATTTTGATTTTCATGGCTTAGATTTCCGATTTCCGTATACGAACAGTAAGTAGATTTTCGGAATCACAATCTTCCCCCTTTTCTGCTCATCACATTTAGGGTGTATGTGACAAAAACGTAGTCGCTTAGGACTAACCAAAGAGCCATCACGTGACAGTCATTTCTTCCCAAAAATTCTCTCCTAGCGAACGTTTTAGGTATGGTAATGATAATTTAAGGGACACCCGATGAGAATATTTTTGGAGGGAGAACAAGTTCTCGTCTGGCCTCAGAGAAACTTGGGCTTCTTGAGGGTATATCTTCAGTGATGATGGTTTGACCCGGGCCGGAATAAATCACCATTGTCAGTAGTTTATCATATAAATCCCTTAGTTTTTATCATTCTTTGATTAATTGATTCTTTCATTGCCAAATTTGACCAGTTGAACTTGGCTTCTTTCGCGGCCGCTTCACAATGAACATTCGCGACAACCAACTGTCCGTGAAGCGTCGAGTATATGCTGCTGGAGTTGGACCGGTACTGCCCTATGGCACAGGAACTTGATCTTTACGAAAATAAGATAGACTCATTTTTCGAACCCCAACCTCTGCGTTGCATTGTACGAGTCTGATGGGGAAACTGAACGAGCAATGGTGAGGTTAGGCACGGAGTCTTAGGTAGTCTTGGGTGCCCACTGGGGCAAGTGGTCGAATTCCATAGACTATAGTGGTTGGGACATATATAACGCATACCACCAAATAGGTTGCCACGGTGCGCGAAGTTCTTCTAGACAGGTGTCGGGTAGAAAGAAGTCAAAGGTGGCCGAACTAAAGCCTATTACGAGGGTATAAAAACCTTGATCAATCAACTTAGCGACATCGGTAACGTTAGGCTGCCTGGATGAAGACTCCAGGATGATTGTAGTTAATGGTTACAGTGATGTGATATGTCAACAGTGGCACTCGTATATTTACTCAATGTCCTTACAGTCTTGGTCTACATGAATTCTCTCTTTTCACCCAGACACTACTTTCAACATTCCAATGTTCTTTCCACTCATACATCCAAATGAGTAGCCATGAGGCAGCGACCAAAATTGCTACACAAAAATGTATGGTTAACGGTTGTTTAAACTGAAATCGAAACGTAATCCATGTTACCCTCATGCCTCGTGGTTCAAATCACAATGAATTATTCTAATCGTGGTGGTGGCTGTTTGAGCAACGCTTCCAATACGAATAAGTAAATGTTCGTATGAAAGATCACTCGTGTTTCTATAAGGACAGTTGATAGAGATATTCATGAATACGAGATCGTTGTTCTTTTCAAACATTTACTTGAAAAACTTCACCGATCGATATCCAGGTTCAGCAATATCGGCATTGGCGGAGTTGGATTTAAGCTGGAACTCGCATCTTTCCACGTCTCGTCTGGCCCTGTTGCTCGAAATGCCGTCATTGGCTGGGCTTCGGTCACTACGTCTCCGAGGCTGTTCCACTATCGTTGGTATCCTTCCCATTCCAACCAATATGCCCGTGGATCAGAACACTTTGGCCTCGTGTGCTTGGTTCCCGTATAAGGTCGATTCGTCTACCGTTTCTCACCACATGATTGAGTCTTCTGGTGATCGTTTGGTTCACACACTCGCCCAAGCTATGTCTAAAGTGAGTGTCTTACTATCATCCTTTCGGCTGCTCTCATTACTGATTAGTCGTTTGATAGTTCTATTTGATCCGCGTTCTGTGCACTCAAGGCAGAAAATGCCCTCGGGAAACCGTCTCGTATACGGTGTTCTATGCAGTCAGTTGCGATTTACTACTGTTATTTCTCAATTTCCCCTGTTGTAACCGACCATGTTGTGTTAGTTTTATTTGCTGTGGGATTTATTGTATGATNTAACTCGACGAAAATCTCTTGAAAACCAATTCGGATTAGTGCGTTTGACATTTGACGACATAGGTTGTGCACGTCTAGTTGTTTAGAGTTCCGTGTTTAGAACCACTGCTCCGGAATGGAGGGAACGAGGATGGATCGACAAATCGCTCGGAGACGAGGGGTATCAAACACTGCGTAAACAGATTGGGCAAAGCGATTCTCTATCGCTTTCTGTCAGAATCCTGTCCTCGGTTGATTTCCCATACCGTGAATCTTGACCACCGACCGACAACACTACCGTGGATTAGACTGTTTTGTCATGATAGTACCGATGAATGCGAATGCTCTCTTTTTGATGCTTTATGTTTCCTTTTGTCTTGCGGTCCGAAATGCGAGGCACTAAGGCAACCAATGGGGTTTAGTATGAATGCTGAATGTAATCGGGGAACACCAGATTTTGTATAGTGTTTTCGAGTGAGTTCCTGTAAATAATTAGACAATCAGAAATGTTAATCATGGTCACAAGATTCAAATTTGCATTAAAACAAACCAAAAAAGTAGAAGCTTCCAAGAGCTGCAATGAAAATCCTCAAACCACATTAAACAGAGCGGGAGAGATCGATACTTGACCACCTTCTTAACAATAGAAAAACAAGAGGTGCCAACTTTCCTATGGTTAGTTTATTCATCTGATTTAGTTCATTTCTAAAATACGGACTCACACCTTCAAATTCAAATCAGCACACCCATGCCTATCTTCGACACCTTGAAGGTAAAACTTAGTTTTGATTGATTTAGAAGGGTTGAATTATGATATGCACGTCGAAATCACTATTTAAATTTCCCTCTTATCTCTTACAACCATAGGGGCACTTTCGTCTGCAAATGTTGGATTTGGGTTACTGTCAGCTGACGACGCATTGTCTTGACAACTTGCGCAGGTACGTGGCATAAAGATTCGTGTTGTTTTGTTTCTTCTACAGTCTTCATCCCCCGTTCCCGGGTTCCAGTTGTACGCGTTCATTTATCCTTGTGGTTGCCGCCAAAATCCGTGCTGTCGACAATCCGCAACTGCTTTATCCATTTGTGGGCAGAAGACAATAAGGAAGTTTCAGAAGACCAATGGCATTAACTCGGACATTAATCAGTTTACAAACGTGGGTTAATCCTGCACAGTCACCGTGTCACTTATCAGTTCAGTTCAGTTTTTATAATGATTAACCAGTCACTTTCGTGCGTCGTTTTTGGTACCCTATTTGGATAAAAGAGCAGAAAGAAGATTGGAATGCTGCAAGCAAATTCAAACGGAAGATGGTGAATTCATATAGAATGGTGTCAATGGAATAATGAGTGGATGCACGAGCGCCACTGTTTGCGACGACCAGCCATATCACTCCGTGTATCTAACCATCAGTGATCATCATCCCGAGGTCCCCAACCAGGGAGTCTAACGGGGCCTATGTGACCTGGTCCTCTGGTTAGGATTTTCATACCCTCATGCCAGACCTTCGTTTGACCACCCTTGACCCTTTTCCAACCGCTACCTGCCTCGGCAAACATCGCTCACTGTGGTAACCTGTTTGGTGACATGCGTAAAATATGCTCCAACCAACGTAATCTATGGAGGTCGATCACTTGCTCCAGTAGACGATCGCGACTGCCCTAAACCCTACACCTAACCTCAGCATTGCTCGTCCGGTTACCCCACCAGACTCATGCAATGCGACATAGACAGCGGTGTTCGAACACACATAATCACTGAAAACTGCAGATTAATTGTGGGAATCATGATGACGATGACATAGCTAACGAGTCTAAATCCTAGGGGAAAGGTTGGTAACCTGGCTCGCAAATCATCTAGGTTATCCGAACGGGCCTTTGACAGCTTCGTCCACGTCAAACTCTACATGNCCTGTCGTCATCATTATCATCATTATCACCTAAAAGTGATCCGATGCACCAGATCCCAACAATGGTTTGTCACCACACTGTAGTTAGAAACACTTGAATGATTTATCGCTTTATCTTGTGGACGTCCGTCTCATCTCTGTAGTTCGATTGCCTACTGAATCCACCATCAAAAGCTTGGTGTTTGTGTTCCACTTCAAAATGTTCTTGGCTCGCTAAATTTGCAGTTCATTGTAAGCATTGTGATACTTCTCGCCGTGCAGAGTTCACCGCTGGTTCGTCACTTGCTTTCTGATTGTTACAACAAGACTTTCGGAAACAAATACTGGCTACTGAATTTGTTTTCAGTACACAGCTGATTAGTATTATTGTGGTTTGTTTGTTCGAAGCACTCAGTTCACATCATGTCCTTTGTTCTCACAGTGGTCGCTCGTACAAATCAGCTCTGGCTTCCAGTTGTCTGTATTCTTTTGTTCCTAACTTCGTGTTTCTTCCGTCAAAGACTTCGGTTACCAAGCCTGCGTACTCAGCGCTGCTCGGCTTCTGCACAGCTTAATGTTTTGGAAAGAGTTACTGAGATCACAATTGTCAAACCAGAATTGGAGTCGCTGTTTGACCGAAAAGAGACTGTTATTTTTCTGTCCCGTTCATCCGACCTTTTATTGCATGCTACTTGTATAATCACAAGGATCTCCTGTGCGATAACGATAATCGGGTAGCCAACTTTTTTCACCGCGCTACGTCCGGCTGGAAAAGAAGTGTTATCTTCCCGGGCGTACATGTAGCTGCTAAATGTTTCACATTCATCGATAGGTTGTGTAGGTTTGATCATGCCCCCTGACGAGTTCTCCAGTGTGTAAGAATGACAGATACGTTTGTCGGTGCGATCATGGTTTCATTCTAGCAGAGCTGTTGCACCAACCATGAGAGACCTGAACCTCAGGTAAGTATCTGTAACCACGACCTCCTTCCTTCAACAGGCCAGTAAATTATGTTTTGTTCCCACCTACCGCGTTCATGAGGGTGATTTGTAGGATGCACATCGAAATCCTTCCTCATCTTCCTGTACCTTTCCAGTCTTTTCGGAACGCCAGGAACTTCGCTCACCACTGTACAGCTGGATCATAATCCTGATCTGTTTACCTCCACTCTCGCTATTTTCCCACGTGGCCCGAACATCTCTGGTTGGATAAACGTATTGCAAGCAACGGCTCAAAGTGCCTCAGCGGTAGCCAGTTTAACAATCGATATGCCAAAAGGTAAACTTTCTTGTTGACGTGTTTTCCCCGGTTAGTAGAAATTACGTGTTTTTGTAATCTCAGTATGATTGAGCTGGTCACCACATGGTTGGTGGTTCTTGTTAGCCGAATTCACATCTCACGGTCCTTAAGGTGCAAACCTCCTAATCTTAATTCCCACTTAGTGTTCTCAAAAGGAGCACTCCATCATCTTGTTCTTCCTAAGCCAATGTTTTTCCCTTTTATCTTTTCGTTTTATTTCCTTTTATTGAATATGCAAAGATACAATTTTAAGGAAGGGGGAAACGGCCAATTAAAGGGCTACCATTCAACGCAATCAAGAAGGTTGGACAGTGGTGGTTGTGGGGATGACAATTTGATGACGTTAACACCGGATCACTCATTCGTTTTATTTCTTACCGTCTCTTAAGTGACAGACGTGATCAGGATTACTAAAAATATCCCAATCTGGAAATTCGAGGAAAAAATAATACTGACCAGAAGCATCATGTCCACAATATGTTTTAAATTCCACTAATTCGTAGTAATCATCTCATCAGCTCTGTAAATCCATTTAGATCTCACCTTTGGTGGAAAGAATGACATTTGTGATCAGAAGACATGAGAAATCAATACTAAGACCAACGGTTAAGAATACCCCAGATCGGATTGGATCCAGGGTAGAGGATTTTAGCCATTATATATGTGCGTCGGCTCGGTAATAAACCTGTCACTCAATGAGCCGTGATCTGAACAGATGTACACAGCTGATAAAATGCTTTCCACGGATTAGTCCAATTCAGCCCATCCTGTCTCTGTGCCGCTTCTCCTTGCTCTCACGAAAAGCAATACATTCTGCTTCGGTATGCATCCCCAATCAATCCCCTTGCACTGTCGTGCACTTGTTTTCTGGTTGCCAAATTTTGCTTAATACGGCTCCCTTGAAGGGGCTATGTCAATCCAATGAACAGCATGACGTTTCACAATAGTTTGATATAAGTGAGATTTGCGGTGTCATCCGGCTCTTTTTGGGAGCTCACCTTCAGCTTTTGCACAACCATCAGGAACCGCAATGGATGTGCGCGCACAACAGGGATTTACGCACCATACTAGTTGGCAGTTAGTGGCAGTGCAAAACGAACTGAACCACTTTATTCACAAAAAGAAGCTCATATTAGTCTGCATACTGAGGACAACGAATGTGTCAAGAACAATGTACTAGTATTATATGACATCATGTTGCAAATAGGAAGCGATGATTGGAAAAGATATTGCTAATCATGCAGTGGATTTCGTCGTGTACAGAACAAATAAAACATGAACTGACAAACTGGGAAACACGGAACAGCAGTTCCGACCGGTTTCGGTTTTATCAACAGTGCTGATCATTTATTCATGAGTTCAACGGAACCTTTTGGGGGTCGATCACTGACTGAAAAACAATGGTTTTCTGTCATCTTTATCAGTAGTCGAAATCTGGCGGTCA